TCGTGTCCAGTAGCCCCTCAGAGACCTAAACTGCTCTGAGATTCGAATCGAGATCATTAAACAGCCTTTGTGAGAATGAAGTCTTTGGGGGGGGGGGAGGTTACCCAACGGTCCCCCTTCCTGCTAATGAAAAAGGGCCTTTGGGGAGATTAATCTCCAGTGTGAGCAGGAAATTCAATCAAGGGCTTATCTGGCTGCCCACTTCAAAGGGCTGATGACAAAGGGGTTCTTATCTGCAGGGAAAACGCTGATCCAGAGAGGTCAGCCGAGGTTGCGGATCAAAGAGGGGTTTTCCCAGGGAATTAAAGGGGCTGCTTGAAAGCGGGAGGCGAGGGCTGGCAAAGGAGCTTGGCAGGTTTCCACATTGTTTCCGAAACCTGCGGAACCTGTTTGGCCACCGTGAACGTTGGGAGGAGAAGGAATTTCCCGTGTAGATTCCGGGAAAGGAAACCTCTCTCAAACCGCTTTCACCTCTCTTAAGACTGTCCCGTGTCTCCGGCACCTTACAAAAGCCAAATATACCACAGAGGTGATGGGAAAGACCTCCACCTGAGACCCTGGAGAGCTGTAAAGAGAGGCTGTGGCTCAGTGGAAGAGCCTCTGCCTGGCATGCAGGAGGTCCCAGGTTCAGTCCCCAGCATCTCCAGTTTAAAAAGACCAGGCAGGAGGGGATGGGAAAGACCTCCGCCTGAGCCCCTGGAGAGCTGTAAAGAGAGGCTGTGGCTCAGTGGAAGAGCCTCTGCCTGGCATGCAGGAGGTCCCAGGTTCAGTCCCCAGCATCTCCAGTTTAAAAAGACCAGGCAGGAGGGGATGGGAAAGACCTCCGCCTGAGCCCCTGGAGAGCTGTAAAGAGAGGCTGTGGCTCAGTGGAAGAGCCTCTGCCTGGCATGCAGGAGGTCCCAGGTTCAGTCCCCAGCATCTCCAGTTTAAAAAGACCAGGCAGGAGGGGATGGGAAAGACCTCCGCCTGAGCCCCTGGAGAGCTGTAAAGAGAGGCTGTGGCTCAGTGGAAGAGCCTCTGCCTGGCATGCAGGAGGTCCCAGGTTCAATCCCCGGCACCTCCAGCTAAAAAGGTCCAGGCAGGAGGTGAAGGGAAAGCCCTCCTCCTCCCCAGGAGCAGACTGAATCTCATGTGCACAGGAACCCTGCTGTGCTCCTGCAGAGTGCAGGGGGTTGGACTAGATGACCTGCAAGGGGTCACAGTTCCCACTCTAACATTCTATGATTCTATGACTCTAAGAAGAAGAAGAGGAGGAGGAGGAGGAGGAGGAGGAGGAGGAGGAGTCTTGCTCCAGATTGCAAGACCAGATCTAATGGGTGGGAATTACAAGGGAGCCGATACCAGCTAAATATCAGGAGGAACTTCCTAATTGTCAGAGTGGTTGAGCCGTGGAACAGTCTGCCTCGGGAGGTGGTGGATGCTCCTTCGCCGGACGTTTTCAAGCAGAGGCTGGACGATCCTCTTTCGGGGATGTCGTAGGGCTCTCTTTCGGCTCTGCTCCTGCAGAGTGCAGGGGGTTGGACTAGATGAACTGCAGGGTCCCTTCCGACTCCAACATTCTATGATTCTATGATCACGCTCTCTTTCTTTGCATGGGAGACCAGTGAACATCTCTCAGCATACGTGTATGTCTGTCTGTGTGTGTGTGTTGAGTGCCATTTAGTTGCTTCTGACTTACGGAGAGACCCTGTTTCTAGTTCAGTGTGTTTCATTCCATGTGAAAGCAGCCATTTCTTTTCCTCGGCACAAATCTCCCCGCAGTTTCTGTCTGCCAGCCTGGAGGGAGGAAGAGGCAGGACGTGTGTCCCCTGATCCGAGCCGAGTGCGTGTGTGTGCTCTTATGTTCTTAAGAAGAAGAAGAAGAGTTTGCATTTATACCCCATCTTTCACTACCCAAGGGAGTCTCAGAGTGGCTGACAAACTCCTTTCCCTTCCCCTCCCCACAACAGACACACCCTGGGAGGTAGGTGGGGCTGAGAGAGCTCTGAGAGAAACTGCTCTTTTTCAAGGACAGCTCTTATCAGAGCTACGGCTTGCCCAAGGTCATCCAGCAGGTGCAAGTGTAGGAGGAGTGGGGAATCAAGGCCAGTTCTCCCAGGTTAGAGTCTGCGCACTTAGCCACCACACCAAATGGAGAAACTCTGAAAACTGTTCATAAATACCATAGAGCCGCAGAAGGAACAGAGACCACTAGCGTTTTCAGAGTCCCCCTCCTTAGAAAATTGGGACACTTTATTGTTTGCAAAGGCTGCTTGTTTTCGGAGTATGAAAAATTATCTCAGCGATCGTTCCTGGTCCCGGGGGAAGGGGCGCCACGTGGTTCTAGCCCAGCCAGTGCTGGCCCTACCCTGAGCCGAGCGGCCCCTTAGCGTTCGGGACGCTCCTGGCTACCGGCTGCCCAGAAGGGCCACACCCCATGGTGGACTTTTCTTCTCCTAGCCAAATTCCAGAAAAATCCACTGCAGAATAGGAGTCACAGCAACATAGGGTCTTTTTTGCAGGAATTCCTTGATTCTAGCTATTATTCTTTCCACCCAAAGCATAAGCTCAGCTCAGGGGATGTGAAGATGATGGTCCAAAAAACCCCATCACGGATATAGAATCACAGAGCTGGAAGGGACCTCCAGGGTCATCTAGTCCAACCCCCCTGCCTAATGCAGGAAATTCACAAATACCTCTCTCCCCCCCACACCCCCAGTGACCAGTGTTCCTCTAAGCTGAGTTAGTGTGAGCTAGCTTACCGGTTTTTTGGCCTCCGGCTCACACGTTTTTGTCTTAGCTCAGGAAGGATGGCTCCAGAGCAAACGAATTTATGCAGCAGCCAAATCGCTCGTTCACAACAAACGTTCTTGAAAAAAGAGCAGTTTCTGTCAGAGCTCTCTCAGCCCTGCCTACCTCGCAGGGTGCCTGTTGTGGGGAGGGGAAGGGAAAGGAGTTTGTGAGCCGCTCTGAGACACCTTTGGGTAGTGAAGGGCCATGGGGTATAAATCCAATCTCCTCCTCCTCCTCCTCCTCTTCTTCTTCTTCATGCCAGTAGCTCACAAAATGGAATTTTTGCTCACAAGACTCCACAGCTTAGAGGGAGCATTGCCAGTGACCAATGCTCCCTCTAAGGTGTGTTGTGAGCAAAAATTCTACTTTGTGAGCTCCTGGCATTAAAGTTGTGAGTGAGTGCTTTGGCTGCTGCATAAGTTAGTTTGCTCTGGATCCCTCCTTCCTGAGCTAGGACAAAAATCTGCGCTGGAGGCTAAAAAACTATGAGCTAGCTCACACTAACTCAGCTTAGAGGGAACACTGAGAGGGAACTCATACTGAATCTGACGTTCGGCCTCATACTGAATCAGACGTTAGAATCAGGAGCACAGCCGAAAGATAGCCCTACAACATACCTGAAAGATGGTCGCCCAGCCTCTGCTTGAAAACGTCCAGCGAAGGAGCATCCACCACCTCCCCAGGCATTCTGTTCCACTGCTCAACCACTCTGACAGTTAGGAAGTCTCTCCTGATATTTAGCCGGTAACAACTCCCTTGTAATTTCCACCCATTAGATCTAGTCTTGCAGTCCGGAGCGAGAGAGAATAGATCTGCTCCATCTTCTGCATGACAGCCCTTCAAATGCTTGAGGACTGCAATCATGTCCCCTCTAAAACTTATCTTTCCCAGGCTAAACAGACCCAACTCTTTCAGCCTTTCCTCCTAAGACTTGGATTCCAACCCTCTCAACATCCTGGTTGCCCTCTTCTGGGCACGCTCGAGCTTGTCAACCTCCTGCCTAAAATGTGGTGCCCAAAACTGGACACAGGACTCCAGGTGGGGCCTGACCATAGCAGAATAGAGCGGAACGACCACCTCCCGCGATCTAGACACAAGGCTTCTGTTCATGCATCCTAAGATTGCATTCGCTTTCTTCGCAGTCACATCGCACTGCAGGCTCCTGTTTAGCTTGTGATCAACCAGAACACCCAGATCCCTTTCACATGTGCCGCTGTCAAGCCAAGTCCCTCCCGTTCTAGATCTGTGCCTTTGGTTTTTTTGTACCTAAGTGTAGGACTTTGCACTTCTCCCTATTGAAATTCATTTTATTTGTCTCCACCCACTGTTCCAGCCTATCGAGATCATTTTGAATCCTGCCTCTTCGGTCCCTCAAGGTCAGTCTTGCCTACCCCAGGGACTGGGGCAGCTGGGCTTTTCCCCAGCAAGGCCCCTGACCAACCCTGCTTTCACGAACGCTGCTTTGGCAGCCGCTGCCACTACACCACAAGGGTCTTCACGGAAGGCAAGCGGTGGCAGCCATTTTGTGGCTGGTGCCGCCTATCAGGGCAGCCGTTTCGTGATTGGCGTCTCCTCCCGTGGCAGCCACCACACTGTCATGCAGCTGCAGGTCCATCGGGACACTGTGATTGTCGTCCCAAGACCCCAACCTTCCAACTCTCAACCGTGCTTCAGAGCAACACTCCCTCTAAGCTGTGGGGTCTTGTGAGGAAAGATTCTACTGTGTGAGCTACTGGCATGAAAGTTGTGAGCGAGCAATTTGGCTGCTGCGTAAAGTAGTCTGCTCTGGAGCCCCATCCCTTCCTGAGCTGAGGCAGAAATGTGTGAGCCGGAGGCTAAAAAACTGAGAGCTAACTCACACTGACTCAGCTTAGAGGGAACATTGCTCTGGAGCCCCATCCTTCCTGAGCTAAGACAAACATGTGTGAGCCGGAGGCTAAAGAACTGTGAGCCGGCTCACACTGACTCAGCTTAGAGGGAACACTGCTCTGGAGCCCTCCTTCCTGAGTTAAGACAAAAATGTGTGAGCCGGAGGCTAAAGAACTGTGTGCCGGCTCACACTGACTCAGCTTAGAGGGAACACTGCTCTGGAGCCATCCTTCCTGAGCAAAGACAAAAATGTGTCAGCCGGAGGCTAAAGAACTGTGAGCCGGCTCACACTGACTCAGCTTAGAGTGAGCAAAGGGATGTTTTCCCTGGTCTTACGAAACTAACGGTACGGTCCTCACCTCTTGCTGGCAGGCCTTGAACTGCTTGCTTTCTCCCTCGCAGTGGAAGGTTTCTGTCCCCGGAGAGTACAGGTTCCACTGCGACCCTTCGGCCCCCGGCTGCGGGCTGCTCCGTGGGCCTTGGCCCCTGGCGTGGAACTGAACGGGGCCGCCCCGGTGCAGCTGCCAAACGTCCGGCTCGACCGGGCGAGGCGCCACGGGCCGGTCCACATAGAGCCTGTGAGGAGGCCCGGATCCACGCCCGCCTGCCCGGGGCTCGTTCTGCCGCTGGTTCCGCGACCTGGCTTGCCCATGGGGTGGGCGACTGGCATGCCTCGCCCTGGCCCGCAGGTCCATTGAACCGCTGTCGGGACGACGGAGTTCCTCGAGCGTGGTTTTGTGGCTCTTCCCCATCCTGAGTCCTCTCCACTCCGGCGTGGCGCTGTGGTTCCTCGGGTGCCATTCCCCTCGTCCTGGAGCGGGGTGACTGCTATCAGGAGAGGGGAGACGGCCAACATTTCCTGCTAAAACGCTGGGATCTTCCGCGACCTTTCCGGCAGGGACTGAGCTCTCGACTGACTTCCCAGAGACCGGGTCCGCTTGGGAGACGATACGGGCAACATCACTTGCAGAGGCAACGGGGGAATGCGGTGGCGGCAGCTGCTGCTGCCGAGGCCCCCCCGCAGGTCCCAATGGAAGGCCGGGGTGCTGACCACCATCCTGAGACTCTGGCGTGGTCCCTGCCAGCTCCGGGGCTTTCTCGTGGGGCTTTCCTTCCTCGGTGGGCCTGCTTTTCACAGCTCCGGAAGCCACGCCGGGATCTATAGGGTGAGGCTCTACCCCCAGGACCCCCCGGTTGGGGGGATACCCACTCTCGCCCAGGGGGACGTGTCGCATTCCGGGCCCCGGGTCGTCTTCTGCCGGTGCCCCAGCCTGCCCCCGGACCTGAGAAGGGCTTTCTACTTCCGGAAGCGTCTTCGGTTTGCGAACAGGACGAAGGTCGGCTCCGGAAGTCGGCAGTTCCTCCTCCCAACTGGCCGGTTCCTCGCGAGGAGAAGAGCGGCGGGCTTTGCGTTTCGGGTTCGTGGCCCGGGGAAGAGGAGGTGGGGGCGGAGGGGGCGGAGGTCCACCCGCTCGGTTCCCGTGGTGCCTCCTAAAGCGGGGGGCGGCTCCCTCCGCCGTGGCCCCTGCCGCATCGGTGTGAAGAGGCAGAGCAAACGGCACCTTCCCATAGCCATATTTACCCGGCTTGATAGACTCTCGAACACGAGACCTGAAAGACACAAAGGTTGATTTCACATTACCTTTTTACAGGGGTCAGGAGCGCACAGGAGTGGAGCTCTGGCAGTAAGGAGCCCAGGGGCCGGGCACATGCAACAAGCCCCGCCCCCTGCTCCCAGCAGCCCTCAGTCAGAGCAAGAAGCAGCCAGGTAAGTTGCAGAGCCCCCCCCCCCAGTCGAAAACAGTCCAGTGGCACCTTTAAGACCAAGTTTTATTCAGGCACAAGCTCTCCCTCCTCTGCGAGGACAGATCTGCAATACCTAGCAATCCAAAAGAGTCCAGTGGAGCCTGAGCGGTGGGTGTTGCCTTTTGACACACTTCCTGTGATGCCAGGGTGTGTGGCGTATGCAAATGAGTTGTGCTAATGAGCTCCTGCGCCTCTTTTTGTACGAAATGACCCCTGCCTTTTTAAACCACATGGTTTCCGTTATTGGCCCATCATGGAAGAAACCGGTACGGGGACGGCTGTTTCTCACAGCATTTCCCTTCCGGTAAGGAGCCGTCTCTGAAGCGCTGTGGCCATTTCAAACTGTGCCGCTTTCTTTTCCCGCCATTTTCCTCCATACGCACGATCTCCCTGAGAGGGTTTCTTGCTTTTTTAAAACATTTTATTGAGAGCGCTATGAGTCATGCCAGCCACATGACCATGGAAACGTCTTCGGACAGCGCTGACTCTTCGGCTTTGAAATGGAGATGAGCACCACAACCCTAGAGTCGGATTCGACTGGCTTTCGAGCAAGGGAACCTTTACCTTTACCTTTTTATAGTGTTATAGTGCTTCCGATATATCATTTTTTTAAAAAAAAGAGGAGAGATTGCGCACTGGGGCGGAAAAGGACGTGAAAAACTTGTCACTGGAGGAAGCATTACACAGCCTTCTATACCGATTCAGATCCGGAAGAAGAGATTGAAGACCTGAGGAAAGCAGTTTTCGTCAACAACACCTCAGACACGCTTCCCAAATGGGAGACAACCGGCATTGTATGAACATGTAAATATATTCAGGAACTGGTTTCTAAAACGGGTCTGTCTGAAATGACAGGGGGGGGAAAGTTAGCAACCCGTTCCTGAAATGGAATAGATGGGCTGTCTGAAATCCTTCAAAGATTACTGTTTCAGCGGTACCCTGACTGTTGTTTCTGGAATTTCTCCCCCACCTTAACTTGCTGCTGTTTACCAGGAAAAGCCACGCGCCTTTGGAACACAGGTCACGTCTATCAAGTACAGTAATGAGCAGGGCACTTGAGAGAAAGACAGCTTGTTGGAAAGCTAGCATGAGAGCCAGTCCGGTGTAGTGGTTAAATTTCTGGCCTAGGATCTGGGAAACCCTGGTACTTATGGACACAGCATTTAGGAGGCCTGGGTACGAGATCTAGCTCAACCCTGTTATATGATTAGCTGCTGTAGATTTTCCAGGTTATCTGGCCGTGGTCTTGGCATTGTAGGACCTGACGTTTCGCCAGTAGTTGTGACTGGCATCCTCAGAGGTATAACACAGAAAGATGGAGTACTCTCCGTGTCATATAATTATGATTAGGCTTAGAACAGATAAAAAGGAAGTCCTTCTTCACCCAAAGAGTCATGAACCTGTGGGATTCACTGCCACAGGAAGTGACGGTGGCTACAAGCATAGACAACGTCAAGAAGGCATTGGATAAACATATAGAGCAGAGGTCCATCAGGGGCTACTAGCCACAATAGTTCCAGCTCCTGCCAACCTAGCAGTTCGAAAGCAAGACATGGCAAGGAGATAAATAGGTACCACCTCGGTGGGAAGGTAACAGTGTTCCGTGTGCCTTGGTGCTTAGTCATGCCGGCCACATGACCACGGAAACATCTTCGGACAGCGCTGGCTCTTCGGCTTGGAAACGGAGATGAGCACCGCAACCCTAGAGTCGGATTCGACTGGCTTTCGAGCAAGGGAACCTTTACCTTTACCTTTATAGATGGAACACTCTGTCTGGGGCTAGGGATGCTCTGTATTCTTGGTGCTTGGGGGGGCAACAGTGGGAGGGCTTCTGGAGTTCTGGCCCCACTGCTGGACCTCCTGATGGCACCTGGTATTTTTGGCCGCTGTGTGACCCAGAGTGTTGGACTGGATGAGCCACTGACCTGATCCAACATGGCTCCTCTTAAGCTCTTATGTCCGGGGGCAGTGACGCTCTGTCTTCTTGGTGCTTGGGGGGCAGCGGTGGGAGGGCTTCTGGGTTTTGGCCACTGTGTGACATAGAATGTTGGACTGAATGGGGCCATTAGCCTGATCCAACATGGCTCCTCTCATGTTCTTAAGAGGAGAGGTGCATGAGTGGCTATTAGCCACAAGGTCTAGATGAGACATTATGTCTGGGGCAAGGGATGCTCTGTATTCTTGGTGCTTGGGGGGGCAATAAGAGTGGGAGGGTGTTTGGAGTTCTGGCCCCACTGCTGGACCTCCTGATGGCACCTGTTTTTGGTCACTGTGTGACCCAGTGTGATGGACTGGATGGGCCATTGGCCTGATCCAGCATTGGCTTCTCTTATGTTCTTATGTCTGGGGCAAGGGATGCTCTGTATTCTTGGTGCTTGGGGGGGGCAACAGTGGGAGGGCTTCTAATGTCCTGGCCCCACTGCTGGACCTCCTGATGGCCCCTGGTATTTTTGGCCACTGTGTGACACAGAGTGTTGGACTGGATGGGCCTTTGGCCTGATCCAACATGGGCTTCTCTTATGGCCTTATAACGACAAAGCACACATACAACAAGCTCACATGAAAGTGCTCTTGTCCGAGGCCTTTCCTCTGTGTGTTCCAACCCCCTACTGAGATTTTCCCTTCAGGCACAGCCAGTGACTGCCTGGTTCCACCCTCTGGGGGCTCCCAATCCCTCCCCTCGGACGTGTCCGGCCCCAAACTCTCACCTCCTAGAGTCCGGTGACTCCTGCGTCGGGGAAGCGGTCCAGCGGTACCGGCTGCCGGCTACTTGGCTGCCGTGACGCTCCCTGTCGGGGCCGAGGCCTCCCTCGAGGGCTTCCCGCCTCAGAGGCTTGAACAAGGGGACAGACTCCCGCAGAGGAGACCGAGCCGAACCGCTGTGTCTCGAGGGCACCCTCTCCGCACCGGTGACATCCCAGTGTGGCGGCCTTTGAGAGGACGCACGGCTAGGCGGCCTTCCCCTGCCCGGCTGGTTTCTCTGAGGTCTCGGGTGCCGAATCGCCTCACGGGAGGGGGCGGAGTCCTGCCCGAGGCCAGCGACGGTGTCCCGCAACTGGGCCGAGGGTACCTCCTCCGGGGGGAAGTCCCCGTGCCGCGTGTACCGATTCTGAGGACTCTCGGGGGCGACGGGCGTCTGGCGTTGGTTGTGCAGAGGGAGCACGGAACCGCTGCCGTGGAAAGAGAGGGCGGGCCTGACGTTCCTGTCGGTGTGCAGTGGGTAGGAGGGTCTGGCTGGATACGGACTAGCTGCCCGCTCCTCTTGGTACGGCGGTTGTTGCGGGTGGGCGGGGTGGGGCGCTGCCTCCGTCCTCCCGGCCCAGGGGACTTGCTGGTAAGGAGACTGGCAGGATCGAGTCCTTTCCAAGACCCCGAGTCCGCAGGGCTGAGAGCAGGCCGACCACGAGCCCCAGACACCCCACACCCCGAGCGTTCTGCTCCCTGGTCCGTCGTCTTGGGTCGCCTGCCGAGACTGCCGCTGGGGGACCTGGGAGAGAAAGGAGAAGGCGTTAGCCATGACCACCATCCGTCTGGATGCGCGTCTTCCGGTGCGCACGCCCGTTTTATTTATCGAGATGGGTGGCTGGGTTAGTCTGCAGCAGCGGAAAAGAGCAAGAGTCCAGTCGACGTGTGAATAATTTGTTTTTATTTTATTTATATCAGTTTATATCCCATCCTTCCCACAAGCGGGCTCAGGGTGCGTCACAGCAACAGAACAATGAGCAGTGACTCACAAAAGCTTCTACCCTGCCACAAATTTTGTTAGTTTTAAGAAGATAAGAACATAAGAGATGCCAATGTTGGATCAGGCCAGTGGCCCATCTAGTCCAATACTCTGTGTCACACAGTGGCCAAAAATACCGGGTGCCATCAGGAGGTCCAGCAGTGGGGCCAGGACACTAGGAGCTCTCCCACTCTTGCCCCCCCCCAAGCACCAAGAACACAGAGCATTCCTTGCCCCAGACCGAGAGCTCCTATCAATGGTTAATAGCCACTGATGGACCTCTGCTTCCATATGTCCATCCAATCCCCTCTTAAGAACATAAGAAAAGCCAATGTTGGGTCAGGCCAATGGCCCACCCAGTCCAACACGATGTGTCACACAGGGGCCAAAAATACCGGGTGCCATCAGGAGGTCCAGCAGTGGGGCCAGGACACTAGAAGCCCTCCCACTGTTATCCCGCCCCCAAGCACCAAGAATGCAGAGCATCACTTGCCCCAGACTGAGAGTCCCTATCTATACCTCATGGCTAATAGCCACTGATGGACTGCCGCTCTATATGCTTATCCAATCCCCTCTTGAAGCCGTCCATGCTTGTAGCCGCCATCACCTCCTGTGAATTCCATGTGCTAATCACTCTTTGGGAGA